CGCCCGCCACCGGACAATGGCCCGGGGCTCACGCCCCGGCGCGCAGCTGCGCCGCCGGTCGACCGGCCCCCCTCCTGGGGGCCCCGCAACCCGGGGCTCATGCCCCGGCGTTCAGCTGCCTCTCCAGGGCTGGCGTGTGGCCTTTGGACCAGCAAGCTGAAGCGGAAAACAAGGTCTGAGAACTTGCAACTTGAGAAGATGATGGTTACCAGCCCTGCATTGCCTCAGGGAAGAACAGGAACTACTCTACCATTCTTGAAGTGAAGGTACTTAATGAGAATAGGACAGTGTGGAATGGGGTAAGTGAAGAGAAGAGGATAGAGAAAGATAGCAAGTGAGCGATAGAGAGACAGGACGTCAGTGAGAAACAGATAGGGTTTATTAACTGTTGATGATGACATGTATAGAATTCTCAACTGGATTGGTCTGAGAAGTGTTTCATGACGGGCAAAGTATTTTTACAAGCAAAACGAGAAATAGCAATTGACTGTTTTATAAAAATAATTAGAATAATAAAGATAATGATTGGGAAAAACAGAAAAGATATGGAATGTTGAAGTGGGGAGATTAATGTCTCTGTACTGACTGACGTGCATGGCATTCCCTTTTGAAGAAACAATGTAATACACTGTAAAGTTATATGTAATCCAATGTAATATGAAGAAGATATGATGATAAAAAAAAACAGTTATGGGAAATGCCTATTATGAAAAAGCTTTGCATGGACTTCAATATTTTTTGCACTAAAATAAATTCGTACTTTAATGCCATTTCAAAAAAAAAACAGTTATAGGAAATGCCTATTATGAAAAAGCTTTGCATGGACTTCAATATTTTTTGCACTAAAATAAATTCGTACTTTAATGCCATTTCAAAAAAAAAAAAAAACTATACAAATACTAAACACAACTGATAACTGCTCACCCACAAGCAGACACGAGCCAGCTCACCGTGCATCCACGCCAGTTTGGTATTCTGGGCTGAGGATGTCTTGGCTAGAAATGTCCCTGGCATTCTTCCCTCAAACATAGGGCGACTGTACCCTCAGGGGGAGTTAGACTTCCCATGTCTTCTGTTATGACTTACAAAGTGAAGTTTGAAAAACAGTAGTTAAGTCACAATCCCAAAATATCTCAGAAATCTCTGCCAGTGTTTCCCTTTACACGTCCCTCTTGATTCTGCTCTCTACACAAAGACCGCATTCACTTTGCAGCCGAGACTTATGTGAGGAAGAAAAGCCAGGTGGAGGTAGGTAGATGGAAGAGTCCATGCGGCTGCTCCAAGCGCACACCGTGTGTGAGGCGGAGACAACGCCAGGTGCCAGCCGTGTAGCTGTAACCCACCTGCTACATGAAATAACATTACATTTAACTTCGTTGATGTTACATAACTATTAAGTTTTCTCTTATGTGATCTGCTATCATCAGTTAATAGCTCCATTTTTTAAAAAGAACTATTTTATTTAGGGGCCAGCAGATGGCATAATGGTTACATCGCTGGACTCACATGTACTTGACCGCAGTGCGAGTCCCGGACCTGGTGGCTTAAAACTCAGGCCGGGTGCATGTGTGTGTCTTCCCTACATCCCTAGAGGAGAATAGAGGAGCAGGGATTGTGGCATGGCCATCCCCTCAGGGGGTGATTTCGCATTTTTTATCTCTCTGGCTAGCACATGTACCCTATAGCAAAACTCTCTCTCTCTCTCTAAAAAAAAAGGCATTATTTTATTTAATTTTATTCATTATTATAATTATTATTATTTTGATCTGACCAGAGAAAGACAGAGAGGAAGGGTGGGAAAGTGAGAGTGTAAGCTGCCAGGTCCAGGACCTGAGCCCCTGTTGGCCATGGGGGAGTCCAGTGCCTTAACCGTCACGCCATGCATGGGCCCTGCTCCAAATTATTTCAATGATTTACAATATGATACTGAGGGCCAGCCCTGTGGGCTGGTGGTTAAGCCAACATGGCTAGTGACATGGTTTGAATCCCAGTTCTGGCAGCTTAAAAACATTGTGAACATGAATAAGTGCCCAAAATTCCAACAGGATGGAGAAATGGGGGACAAGGGGCTGAGGTGTGACCAGCCCCACTGGTGCTCTCCCTCTCCGTCTCTGTGACCAGCCCCACTGGGTACTCTCCCCCTCCCCATCTCTGTGACCAGCCCCACTGGGTGCTCTCCCCCTCCCCGTCTCTGTGACCAGCCCCACTGGGTGCTCTCCCCCTCTCCTGTCTCTGTGATCAGCCCCACTGGGTGCTCCCCCTCCCCGTCTCTGTGACCAGCCCCACTGGGTGCGCCCCCTCCCCGCCTCTGTGACCAGTCCCACTGGGTGCGCCCCCTCTTCTGTCTCTCTGGTAGAGTTGCATGCTTTCATGTTCAAGTTAAAAAAAACTGTGATACTGAATATGGTAGTCCCGAACAAATCAATAAAAAGCACTACGTAAGTGTTTGTTGTTAAAAATTAGTTAAAGCCATTTTTTTAAATAAAATTCCTAAGCTACTTTCAGCAAAATCGATTGATGTCAAGGTGGTTATGAACACGTGTTTTAAAATATAACAACCTAAATTTGAACCTAAATCTGTTCTCCATGCATGGCATATTTTTAATCCAAAGTATTAATTATTATTTAAAATATTATTAATAACACACAACATGAAGGGACCGGCAGTTGGCATAATGGCTATGTCACTGGACTCCCATGCAGTCAACCATGGTTCGAGTCCCAGACTCGGTTGCTTAAATTCATGCTGGGCACGTGTACGTGCATCCCAAGATCCCAAGACGACAATGGAGAAGGGATTAGTGTGGCTATCCCCCCTGGGGGTGATTCTCGCTCCGTCTCTCTGTCTCTCTCTATCTTTCTGGTGAGCGCACATGCACTATAGCAAAAACCTCTCAAAAAAAAAAAAAAAAGAAAAGAAAAAAAACACAACGTGAAAATAAATTGCATGGAACAAGAATGATTGAAAAATCTTTCCCAAAGAGTTAAAGTGTAATGTAAGAAAACTGTTATGACGGACAGAATAAATTCCTGTTTTTAATCCTTATGCCAGGTTCCAGTCCACAGAACAAGCTGACAATTCCAAGAGATGCCATTAGAGAAGGGACACGTGAGACAGCACGTCTAGCCCTGAGCACTCAGACCACGCACCCTTGTTGGCTCGCGTGGACGACCACCTCACAGAGGTGCTGATGTGCTGCGTGGGTTATGGGCTTCTCACCTAGGAACAGGTTTTAAGTACAGCAGTTCGTGCTAGAGCAAGGCTCAGCTAGAGAACAGAGACTGACAGTTGCCAGGAAAGGAGGAGGCTCAGAGGGTTCCGAAGGGTCTCGCCCCTCCCAGAGCTCGCCGTGACCGAGAGGCGCTGTGTGCCTGACTCCGACGGGGCACTGAGAACCTGCCTGGGACAGTAGCTGGAATACGTGGAGCACACGAGAGAGGCGCCGCTCTTTCTAAGATGGAGCCTGATATCTTCGGTCATTTGCTCTCAGGAATATTTATGAACCTGACCTCTCTCTGAAACTGGACAGATAAGTTGAACAGTTTTGCGCATGTAAAAGAATTTATTTTGGGGACCAGCAGATGGTGTAATCGTCATGTGGCTGAACTTCCACAGAGCTGACTGTGGTTCAAGTCCTAGACCCAGGGGCTTAAAACTCACGCGGGGAGCATGTGCATGTGCACCCAAAATCCGTAGAGGAAAATGGAGGAGAAGGGATTGCAGCATGGCCATCCCCTCAGGGGGTGATTTCTCACTTTCTGTCTCTCTCTCTGTCTCTCGGTGAGCACACATGCCCTATATAGCAAAAATCTCTCTTAAACGAAAAAAAAAGAATTTCTTACAAAGCGTAAATCTGTTTCCCCCACTACACTGCTACTTGCGTGCAGGGAGGAGTAAAGTTTTAACATCTGATGGCTCCTGAGCACTCAGCCCGAAACCCAGCACCCGTTTATCTCCAGGAAGTCACGAAGGGTTAACTGGCAGTGAAGGAGGGACCCGTCCACAGCACATGTGTACAAGCTTGCCCTCGAGAGGTGAGGGGACAGAACTGCACAAGGACGCTCGAGCCCCCAGAAGGTAGTGAAGTCAGAGAACGTGAATAGACCAGCTTGGCAGTCTGGCTGCTAACCTGTCCGTGCAGTGTACAGTGCTCAAAGGTGCCACATAAAGTTTCCGTGTGCGCGCGCATAGCCTTACTATGAAAATCTCCCTGACATAAGGAATCATAAAGACCACTGAGACACAGACTACTGGTATGACAGTACCCTAGAAGGCCTGTTTTTCTCATAAACAATTTATTGAAGCTACATTTAAAATTTTTAAAAGTACTGTTGTTCCATGGCCAAAGGCTTGTAACATTCTGCTTGTGAAAGCCAGCGTGTCCTCTCTCATCTAAATTCAATCTGTATCTTGCAGCTCATGAATAAACCGAGCTCCATTAAGAGCTGCAGCGAATCAACCATATACTAAGCACTTCGAGGTTGCCAGCAGGGGCTTTCCGAGAGCCTGAAAACAGCCTCTTCCTTCGCTCACAGCTGCTAGAAGCACCCTGCGCTCCGAGCTCTGTGGGCATAGCTGCCCGAACCTCAGCGGCCAGTGACCGTCCTGGGTCGCGTCTGGCCTTGCGGGCTCAGAGCACGTGTAATGCTTTCCGCTACTTTTCCACCTCAACAAGATAAAGAGCTATCTTTCTTAGAGTTCACACTCTAAAAAGTTAATAAGCAAATACAAACAAGAGGGTCATTCAAAAAGTTCATGGAAAATCCATATTATGAAAACTATGCATAGATTTTAAATTTTTCTTGTACAACATAAACTCCAACTTTACTTCTACTTTTCCACAAACTTTCTGAAGTGCTCTGTGTCCTTGCGCTGCCACCACAGCTGGGAGCCCCATGTGAGGAGGTCCCCTACATCTCCGATCCAGCTGACTGGGACCAGCACAGGAGGGCTGCTATGGCCTTTGGCCTTGCAGAGCTCTCTGGCAGGGGACAATGACAGTTGTGGCTCTCCCCACAGAACCCACAGACACACAGCAGTGAACCTATTAAAAGTGCAGTTACTCTTTCATGCTCCCTACTAAGCAGATTTTTATTTTTTTTAAATAAAAATAATCATCAGAAACAAGGAGAGAAGCAGCGTTCTCACTGCTCAGTCCTGAGCTCACTGCTTTGGAGCTCCCTGGCCGAGACAAGCCCTGGCTGTGGTGCTGCCGCATGGCCAGCAGGTGTCCCACACAGATGGCAGAAAAGGACCCAGGAGCCAGGAAAAGAGTAGCCAGTCCCAGGAGAGGGACTACACGCCATGACACTACGTTCACACATTGTGCGTGGCCCCAAGGAGAGTAGAAGCAGCTTACTGTGCCCGCTGTGGACCCGCACCTGCTTTTCCTCCTGTGTCTTAAGTAGGTCCACATAAGAGTCCTGAGCTAAAAGCTGCAAACGCCTGTGAGTGAGAGTCTGCCGGGCAGGAGCCACTGGTACTCACCGTGGTGGTGGTGGTGACCTCCTCGGTGACAACTTTCAGCGTGTCGACCACTGAGATGTAGCCCAGACGCTTAGCGATCGCCAAGGCCGTGTTGCCATTCTGGGGGGAGCAGGAGAAGCA